GTCTGACGAGTCTGCAGACGCTGAGCCGTGTCCTGCATGTGAACCACACCTTCCGTAAACTTCTGCTGATAACACGACACAACAGCTGCTGCCTCGCCCTGTGAGCCAGCAGCGACCGAGGCCGACCCAAAGCAGTCAGCAAACTTCTTCCTGCTTCATCGGGTAGTTACCGCGGGGTCACTTCACAGACTCGGACGTCCCTCTTTACCCGCCCTGCTGCGCACACACGAGAGGCAGCAGTAACCTCTGCTCTGAAAACGTCCATTAGAGCTGCAGAGCAGCGCGGGGAGCTCACAGAGAGAGAGCCTGCACGGCCTGCAGGAGCCGACCGAGGCGTCATCAGGTCACCTCGGATCCTATTGGCTCAAGCATCGACGCAAGACATGTCTGTCCCGTTTATTCCTCACGTCCTGGGGTCGTCTTACTGAAAACAGGCGTCTTCACCTGAACTGATGTTTAAAGTTTAACAAATCTGGTTTTTTTTTAGCTCGAGTAAATTGAATCCCACTGACAGAAAGGTGCACGTGCTGGCTTTATTAAAAGCAGATGACCAATAGGAAGTCATTTCCTTTTTGTCCTAAAACCTGAATTCACGCCTCCCCTTAAAATAAAGACAAAGCTCCATTCACAGTCTGACTAAATGCTGCTTTTAAGGCTGACCTATTCTGCACTTTTTCTACTCTTCCAGCTGTATGATGTCATCACGAAAAACAAAAGCTCCACCCACCTGCTGTTTAAAACTTTACTTTGTAAGGCTTATTCTGATTTGTGAATCATGCTAAGCCGTCCTGGCAGTGTGAGAGAACACAGCGTCAACACAACATGAAGTTGTCAGTCTGAAAAGTCAGTGATGACACAGCAGCAACTAGCATGCTAACAGCCAGTTAGCTGTGTCCACCTGACAGGAGGGGTCGGTGACTCACTCAGGTGAGGCTCCAGGTAAATACAGGAGCCGCTGCTGCTGCGTTTGTGGCAGCCAGCCAATCCTACCTGGAGTCTGAGCTGCTTAAACACGTCGGCAGTGTCCGTAAACACGGAGCTCCGTTTTTATTCTGATTCAAGTTCCACTCAGCGGCTAACCCACAAACCCGAGCTCAGAGCCCGGGAACCGGGCCTGTGGCCAATGTTCGGTGATCTCCCAGCTTCGTACAGTCAAACCGGGCTCACACGGTGGGCTGTCGGCCGTTTATGACCGATTAAAGTGGTTAAAGTATCCGCTGAGAGCCGCTCTGCGCACTCTCACACTCGGCTAGGCTAGGCTAGCTCCGTGCTAGGCTAACACTCAGCGTTACCTTGGCTGGCGGGGTCCATGGCGTCGCTCTCTCGCGGATTAAACTCCTCTTTCGAAGATTTAAAGTTTCAGGTGGAGCGCAGCGGACGGCAGAGCGGCACACTGAGCACAAACCGTCCCGACTACAGCTTCGCTGACAGAAAGTCGTCGACAAGAACACACGGGGAGCAGCAGCTGTTTATCCCACGGTCCGTGAAATTAACGCCAAACAACAGAGGCACATCCGGCGGGGAATTTCAAAATAAAACGTAGATTACGTTAGTGCCTGGAGGCGATGACTGGGAAATATTTATTGATGACTCCTCTTTTATTTTATTAAGAAATAGTGGATTACCTGCCTCGGAAATTAAAAAAAAAAAATACATTATCGATATATTCATCAGTGTCTGAGTCTTCACGTTTTTTTAACAGTCCGAGTTCAATTCTGAAGAACAGATTACACGTTACATTACCAAACTGGCAGAAACACAGTGAACCAATCACACTAAGGTGTGTCATCACTCTGGTTAAAGGTGTTTTTTGTAACAACCCACTGTAAACTTTGACCTGCAGGGGGTGACACTGCATCAGCAGGTTTTTTATTTTATTCGTTTATTTTAGCCTGCTACGCCTTTACCTGCTAAATAAAGGTCACCCTGACTCACTGCTCCGTCCTGTGGTACAAACACGAAGGTACAGCCCAGGCCTGTTCTAACTGCGGCTTGCATCTCCACATCACAGTGCACAGATGTTCTG